CATCCAGTTTCATCTTGAAGGTGTTCAATGAAGGCGCTTGAACCACCTCCGGTGGCAGGCTGTTCCAGACCTTGGGGGCTCGGACAGTAAAGAAGTTCTTCCTTATGTCCAGCCTGAAACGGTCTTGAAGTAGTTTGTGACCATTCGACCTCGTCATCCCTTGGGGCGCTCTGGTGAACAAACGTTCCCCCAGATGCTGGTGGTCACCCCTGATAAACTTGTAGGTGGCCATCAGATCACCCCTGAGCCTGCGCTTTTTCAGGCTAAAGAGCCCCAGGGCTCTCAGCCTGTCATCGTAGGGTCTGTTTCCCTGACCTCTGATCATGCGCGTGGCTCTTCTCTGGACTCTCTCAAGCTTCTCCACATCCTTTTTGAATTGTGGAGCCCAAAACTGGACACAGTACTCCAGCTGCGGCCTCACTAAGGCCGAGTACAGGGGGAGAATGACGTCCCGGGATTTGCTTGAGAAGCATCTATGGATGCAAGCCAGCGTTTTGGTCGCTTTACTAGCCGCCGCATCGCATTGCAGGCTCATGTTCATCTTGTGGTCAATGATGACGCCCAAGTCTCTTTCTTCCATAGTGCTAGCCAACATAGCACTGCCGAGCCTATAAGGATGCTGCGGGTTTTTTTTCCCAAGGTGGAGAACCTTGCATTTATCGGCGTTGAGCACCATCAGATTCTCATCCGCCCACTTGCTGAGCCTGTCCAGGTCAGCCTGGATCACCCGCCTGTCTTCTGGTGTGGATGCTTTGCCCCAAAGTTTGGTGTCATTGGTGAAGTTGGCCAGTCCGCTTCTGACTTCAGTGTCCACATCATTAATGAAGATGTTGAACAGTATGGGTCCAAGGACAGAGCCTTGGGGGACCCCACTGGTCACAGGACACCACGATGAGAGACTTCCATCAGTTACTACCCTCTGGGTCTGACCACAGAGCCAATTTTCCACCCAGTGGATTGTGGAGGACCCAAGGTGACAACTGGCCAGTTTCTCCAAGAGGCGATCATGGGAAACCAGATCGAAGGCTTTTTTGAAGTCAAGATATATGACATCAATCTCTTCTCCCTTGTCCAGGTGATAGGTCACCTGGTTGTAGAAGGAAATGAGATTGGTCAAGCAAGACCTACCCGCAACAAACCCGTGCTGGCTATCCCTTAAGATGTTGGCGTCGGCGAGTCCATTAAGGATGGCCTCTTTAATAAACTTTTCTAAGATCTTCCCCGGGATAGAAGTCAGGCTAATGGGCCTATAGTTAGCCGGATCCACTTTCCTCCCTTTCTTGAAGATAGGCACCACATTGGCCTTCTTCCAGTCTTCGGGCACTACACCAGAGCACCAAGAGTTTTCAAAGATCCGTGCTAGAGGCTGGGAGATCCGTGCTAGAGGATTATGTAATCCTGAGGATCAATTTCAAACCATTTATAGTGTAAATTCTTACATGCTAGGTAGTCATCAGTGTACTAAAATAATATGCTGAAAGTTTATATAGCAAAGATAATCAAAGCTTCAAACCTACTTAATCACCTATCTTACATTCCATACCTACAAGAGAATGTTTCTTCTTTTGCAGAGCCTGGAAGAAACAAGAATTGAAATGCAGCTAGTTGGAGACCTACCTTACAGAATTTTGGGCTTGACTTGCATTACTTCAACAGGAAGCATATAATAAAATCTCTCACTCAAAAGTTTTCAAACTGGGATGCCCAGAGGGTAAGACATGCATTTGGAGATACGAATTTCCGAAGGTGTTAACTGCCTAAAACTCAGATAGTTTTCTCTTCAATCCTCCCTGTCGCAGGATATGGGCTCCAGAGGGACAGGTGCATCAGCAAGGTGAATAGAAGACTCCAGCGATGGTGCCATTGCGAAGGGTTTGGCTACCTTGACCACGATCTGCACTTCAAAGAGAGTGGACTGATGGGAAGGGATGGCCTCCACCTCACCTGGAAAGTGAAGAAGCTCTTCTCGGCTAGAATAGCTGACCTTCTTGACAGGGCTTTAAAAACCAAGACTGTTGAGGGATAGACAGTCTACTAACAGTTTTAGCTCAAGTCATGTCAGTTGCATTACCAATAACGGGCAGCCCAAGGGAGACAGCCCAAGGAAAGGTCCCGCTAAACCCCTCAGGGAAACATTGGGCTTCATATGGCAGACTTTAACTGCCTGTACACAAATGCCAGGAGCTTGGGAAACAGGCATGAGGAACTGGCCCTTCTCCTATCTGATGACTATGACTGTAGCAATTACGGAGACCTGGTGGGACACTACCTATGATAGGGTGGTGGCAGTAGAGGGTTAAACTTTGTATAGGAGAAACCGTGTGGGGAAGAGGGATGGGAGTGTTGCTTTCTATGTCAAAGATCAGCTCACCTCCCTTCAGATTGAGTTTCCAAACCAGGAAGGGTGCCTTGCGACTCTCTGGGTCAAGATACGAGGAGAACGTGGGGAGGGTGACTTACCTGTAAGAGTCTACTATAGACCCACCCCTCCACCCCCACCTCACCAAGAGGAAGACCTAGATTGATTCATCTCATCTAGGAAGACTTTGTTTGATTCATTAGGGAACTGGTTGAAGCTGCACGCTCCCGATGTTTGATCGGCATGGGAGACTTCAACTTCCCAGACATGTCTTGGGATGATCACACGGCCAAATCTGACCAGTCGCGTAGTTTTCTCACGTGCATCAATGACCTCTACCTAACCCAGGAGGTCTATGGGCCGACTAGGGGAGAGGCATTGCCAGATCTGGTCCTGGCCAAAGGGGAAGACCTGGTGAGCGATCTGTGGATCTAGGGAAAGCTTGGTGACAGTGACCATGAGCTGGTCACCTTTTTAGTTCACCGAAGAGCTTGCAAACCCCTCAGTAAAACAGAAGTCCTTAACTTTGGGAAGGCTGACTTCTGCATACTGAGAGAACTGGTCACTTAGGCAATCAGAGGCCATACCCCCACAGAAAAGGGAGTACATGAGGAATGGTCATCGCTGAAAAACATAATCCTTGAAACAGGGCAAAGCCATCCCTTCTTGCAAGAAATGTAGTCAATGACTGAGGAAGTCCCTATGGCTGAATAAGGAACTGTTGGACCTCATTAAGCTCAAAAGAGTAGCCTACACCAGCTGGAAAGCAGGAAGTATTACCAAAGAGGATTACTGTGTACCCACCCACACCTGCAGAGAGCGGTCGAGAAAAGCCAAGGCACAAACTGAATTTAGGCTTGCTACAGGGGTCAAGGACAACAAAAAGTCTTTCTTCGGATATGTGGGAAGTAAGAAAAAGAACAAGGACAGTATTGGGCCCCTGAGAAATCTAATGGGGGAACTGACACCAGATGCCCAAGGAAGGGTCAATCTCCTAAATTACTTTCTCGCACTGGTTTTTCATCCTCCCAGGAGGATCACACTGCCAGGAACAGCATACACCTGCTTGGGAGCAGGTGACGGGCCAAAAATTGATATTGATCAGGTGAAGGAACACCTTGAGAAACTGGACATTCAAGTCTGTGGGCCCAGACGAAATGCACCCGAGGGTCTTGAAAGAGCTGGCAGATATCGTTGCATCCCGCTTGGCAGGGATATTTGAAAAATCATGGCAGTCGGGTGAAGTTTCTGATGACTGGAAAAGAGCCTACGTGGTCCCCATCTACAAGAAAGGGAGCAGGGATGAGCCTCATCTCCTTCTATGACCAGGTGACATATGCCCTGGACAAGGGAGATGATGTGGATGTCATTTATCTGGACTTCAAGGCCTTTGACCTAGTTACCCATGATATCCTCATGGTTAAGCTGGGGAACTGTGGCCTAGATCATCATATGGTCTGATGGCTAGGTAACTGGCTACAGGGTCAGACCCAAAGAGTACTAGTTGAAGGGAGCAAATCAACGTGGCACAGTGTTACCAGTGGAGTCCCTCAGGGCTCAGTACTTGGGCCAGTACTCTTTAACATTTTCATAAACCATCTACATTCGGGAGTTAGATGTGAACTGGCCAAGCTCGCAGACGATACCAAATTATGGGGGAGAGCAGTCACACCACAGGAGAGGCTAGGGATACAGGCCAACTTGGACACACTCTCAAAGGTGGGCTGACCAAAACCAGATGACCTTTAATACAGAGAAGTGGAAGGTGCTGCACCACGGTAGGAAGAACCCTCAGCATACTTACAGGCTCGGCAGTGCTACGTTTGCTAGCACCACAGCTGAAAGAGACTTGGGGGTCTTGACTGACCACAACATGAACATGAGCCACCAATGCGATGCTGTGGCTGGCAAAGCAAACCAAACTCTGGCGTGCATCCACCAGCACATCAAGTAAAACCAGGAATGTCATCCTCCCACTTCACTTGGCCCTGGTGAGACCACAGCTGGAGTCCTGCATCCAGTTTTGGGTCCCCCACTTCAGGAGGTATGTGGAAGAGCTCGAGAGAGTCCAGAGGAGAGCCACTCGTATGATCCAAGGCCAGGAGGGCATGCCATATGAGGAGAGGCTAAGGGACTTAGGACTCTTCAGTCTGGAGAAGAGAAGGCTCATGGGGGACTTGGTGGCAGCCTACAATTACATAAGAGGGGTACATCAGGACCTGGGAGAACATCTGTTCACCAGAGCTCCCCAAGGGATAACAAGGTCTAACGGCCATAAACTCTAGGAAGGCCGATTTAGACTGGATATTAGAAAAAAGTTACGGTGTGTGTCCAGGGTCTGAAACAAACTCCCCACAGAGGTGGTACAAGCACCAACTCTGGATTCCTTAAAAAAAAAAACAGCTGGATTTATTTCTTGCTGGAGTCACCTGATCCCAGCTGACTTCCCACCTATGGCAGGGGGTGGGGGGGCTAGACCTGATGATCTCACGGTCCCTTCCAGCTCCTAATGTCTAAGTAATCTATGAAACTCCTATTAATTCTGAGTATTCACTGCTTCTGGCATGACTTATTTTAGGTACCTAATCATAGAGATTCCAGTAAGAGTATTTTCGCCAGAAATGTATAGCAATCTCAAGTATAAAGTTAATATTAGTTTAATACATGAAGCTGAACTGTGTTTACAAGTACAACAAGTATTCTTTAGTCAGACAGAAATGAAAAACAGAATCTTTAATTGTACAGATTAAGTGCTCAGCCATCTGTTTAGCAAAAGGTTATTTGCTTCAGTTTTTACTTTACATTAAGCCAACTGGTATCTCTGCTTCAGATACCCATTCCTGTCAGACTTCAGATACTTAGCTTATTGGTGCACATCTAGTTCCTTAAATTTTCTTTCTACTAGGTAAGCTAATAAACTGTTATACAGCCACTCCATTCTACCACCAGGATGACTACACTTCAGTAGTAGTAGAAAGAGCTTCCCCATCTTTACTTTGTAGCAATTTATGTGTGTATAGTGTATGATTTGCCTCTTGATAAAAAAAAGAATTTAAACTCTATTGGACTTGTTTTGGCAAATGGGTTTAGCTGTAAACTGAGATTTGAAGCTAAATCATTCTTCCTTATATAATTTGCCATTTTTTAATGAGAGAAAGATAGATTAAAAAAAAAACACGAAAAATGGCCCGAAAAATCATGTCCATAGGGTTTATTGAAATAAAGCTAATTTTAACTATAAACTCTTGTAAACTCCCTTCAGCACCTAAACTCTATGCAGAGATTATGTGAACTCCTCAATTTCTGTGTGCTTTAATAAACACTAGAAATGGACATTGATGCACTAAGCTAAGATTACTACGAGTAAAAATAACCATTATGAATTATCCATTACTCTTAGTTTTAATTATAAGACATCTTGAGGCTTTCCTAAAAAACACCACATGTAATTTCAGTGCATTATATACAGATAATACAGAAATATTTTCTATAGGAAAAATAAATAAGAAAAATATGTAAACATCCTGGGTGAAATTCTATTCCCACTAAAATCAGTGGCAATACTTCCATAGCCTTTGATGGAGCCAAGATTTCACCCCAATTTTAAAAGAATATATTATAGTGACATGAGATTTTGTTTCAGAACATTTTAAAAGTGCATACAAGGTTGTGCAACAATTCATAAACTTTCAAATGTTTTATAAATGTATTTGTCATTCATATCTATTGCGTCTCCTCAATATGGTCTCTTCTGGTTCTAACACATCTTTATTTATCTCTCGAACTTCTACCACATCTGATTTGATGAGCTGACTAACTGCTAATTTGTTACCACATAGTTCAGGCTCTTCCATTCTGTAATTATAATCAGTATCTTCAAGTAGATCTTCATTATTACAATCTTCATTGTCATCTACTTCTTCCTCTTGAAGGTGTTCACCAAATGAATTAATAAGATCTTCAAGTTTCTCGTTACATGTGTGATTGTCACCTTAGTTTTCAAAAAAAGCAAAGAATTAAGAATAGTGATATGGTTCCAAGTTTGACAAAAATCATTAAAAAAAAAAAAAAAAATCAAAACAAACCTTATTTACCCAAATCCAAGACAACCCTGAATTTAAGATGACCCTCCAATAATTAGATTCTAGACATGGAAAGGTTATAAATATTAGTGTTCCATGTCTAGGATCTAATTGTTGGAGGTTTGTTTTAAATTCATCCCACCCCTACTGCTGAACTCAGGAAAAGCAGTGGCACGGATGTAGGTAGAGAGAAGGCAGTGGGGGAGGCAGCGGCAGGGGGCAGATGGTGGGCTAGCAGTGGAAGGGCAGGCAGTGGGGGGCAGTCAAGTAGCCCGAGTCCTGCTGCCTATCCCTTGCACCACTGGACCCTCTTTGTGCCTGTCCAGGGCCCAGCCAGAGCTGTCACCACTGCTACTGGGCCAGGCTGGGTCCAAAGCAAGCACGTGTACCATGTCCAGGCTGGAGCAGAGACAAAGCCTGCCTTTACCAGAGCAAGAGTAAGCAGTGGTAGGGGGAGGAAGGAGTGCAGGCAGCAGCTTTGGCTCCAGTGTCAGAGCCAGAGCTGAAAAAGCTTCCTGCCCCTGCACCCTCATACTTGATTCCAAGATGAAAGGTTTTTCCCACTCATCTTAGAATCAAGCAAATGCAGTATTTATTTTCTTCTTCCATCAATGACTTTTGACTATGGCACTAACAACCTACAGGACAACACATTCAAGAAAACCTTACTAAGAAAGCAGCAGAGGATTTCTCACTCAATTCCAATGGAAAATGT